TAAATTTCATTGAGTTGGATTGACACTGGGATTGAAAAAGTACTTAAAATGGCAAAATTGCAGGGTAAATGGTGCCTCAGAAAGCAAACTGTCTCCTGCAGGGAATCCAATGCACTTTATGTCAACCACGAGAACATTGCTCTGAGCTGTTCTCACACTTTACATCCTGAGGTACTTTGTTTCCTAACAGCAGTTTTATAATTTTTTGGCTTCCCATTAACATTTCAAACTATAAATACAAAAGATAGCTTTGCTTTGGGAATATCTGATTATAACAATCCAATGTACATTTGCAATCCTTTTGAATTAAAAAAAATCCTAGAAGTCTCATACAGTTCTGAGTGTGATCAAAATCATTGGGTGGATGTTTAGTGCTTAGAAAATTTGGCATAATTCCAAGAACAAGAAACACTACTAATGTGGATTATTTAGTTATTTTGTTTGTGGTCCTTCATACATCTAAGATTTTCACTCAGTAGTATTTGCACAAGAGCAGGAACCTTTGGTTCTGCTGAACGCAACTCAGAAAGTAGCAATGATCTATCTGATGGGAGATCCCCTTTATTGAAAGATGTGAACAATGGTGTTTCGTGAACGTGTGTGAATTGCTTCAGACAGGCAGTCTTACAAATGCCATGCAAGAACACCTTCTGAAATTGACTCATGAGGTGGTTGAATGCCCTTTTATTCCCTTCTAAAAGTCGCTTCCTGACAGTTGATAACTGTACAAAATGCAATTCACCAATCAATGTTTTAGAAATAGGTTTGTCAATCATCCACATCCCACAGGTGACAAACTGTTCCAACCTTTTTGGCATTTGTTGTGGAGTCTGCAAAATAAGATTATTGTCCTTCCTCCGAATATCTTTACCTACCAGTTCCATCTAAAAGCCATTTCGACTTAAACCCCCTCCCAGCAAAAAAAGTGTGATATAGGAGAACTGAGCCAGTTTGTTTGTTTGTCCTACTCTGTCAGATGAGATAAACTGGTCAGCAGAGGTTGCAATGTGGAAATCTTTTCTACAGACAAATCTCCAGTGTTTTGCATGTAAGAAATTTAAGATCATAAGATCTCATAGGTTCAAAAGCAGGAAAATAATAAATAAAAAAAAATCCTAAAATAATAAAATGAATATAGCAATTTAGTATGAAATGAAAAGGTCCCACGATGGAATAGAGTTGAAAATATATTTGAGGATTCCGTGCTTCTTTTATAAATTGTAAAATTTAGGGATATTTAGCTATTGATTGTTCAGTAGGGCCATGTAAATTGACAGTGGTTACATTATTGTCCCTGATGGAATTCGGTTTCTCATTAAGAATGTTTAAGGACTTGGAAATAAATGGTGGTAGTACAGGGGGAGCTTCTTCCACTTATTGTACACAGTTTAGGTTGATGTTTTCCTGATAGATTATCTATTGTTCATGTCACCTTTGCCTTTGAAGTGGAACTCCTTTACCTCCCGGTGACCTGGCTAACAATCCTCCACATAAAAATTGTTTATTTATTTCATGGCTGTTGGTGGGACATTGTTGTGCGTAAATTGGCTGCTGCGTTTACCTACAAAATACAGTTACTGAATTTAACAGTAATTCCTGTGAACAGCTTTAAGATATCCTCATGATGTGAAAGACACTATACCAACTGGATTATCTTCCCATTCCATTTTAAAACCTACAGGCATCCAAGTCATGCATCATCTAACAATTAACCTATTTCATCCTCTACTGCCTTTTTGGTTGGCCAACAAAATACATTTTCTTGATTGAATATTTCTTCATCTACGGCCACCCTATGGGCGTCACCTCTCTGTAGCTACTGGAAACAATGATAATAATAATCCTTGCATTTGATACAGCACCTTCTCACATCTTCGACTCGTCTCAAAGGGCTTCATAGAATATACTGTAAAGTGGATTGACTGTATATTTTGTGGGTAAAACAATTTGGAATGGACTCACCTGGACTGGTATGAATGTTCAGGGAGCCAGTTCCTGATGGCCCTAAGGACCACTCCAGCCTGTGGGTCAAGGGTTTGCTACCACTGTTCCATGCTATTCTTTTTAACCTTGGTGGTACTCTGCCTAACACCCTTGATGTATCTTTCTTTGTGAAAAAAAATGAAGAATGTCTGGGAAACCATGTCAGATTTGTTTGTGGATCTGAAGAGCATGACATCTGTGACAAGCAAGGAATTATCAATGTTTACATGTCTTTGATATTATTCAGAAAAACACCAAAAACTAGGATTGAATGGAAATGACCATTGGCCATTCATGCCATGGCTGTTTGTGGGACACTGCTGTGTGCAAATTGACTGTCACGTTCGCCTACAACTATACATTCACTCCACTTTACAGTAAATCCTGTGAAGCACTTCAAGACATTTCAACAATGTGATAAGACACTAAATCAAGTGCAACATTACTATTTCTTCTAATAAAACGACAATGACTGTCTGCGCTTCAAGACGGATCTCAATAACCAATTGACGCAGAGGCATGATTTACACCTCATTGGAAATGTCTTGAAACTGGGAGTGACATGGGCATGGCTGTTTTCAGGTATCGGGTTCATGAGTTATTTTCAGTTTTGTGTTTTTTGCTGCAGCTGGTGGCCGCTGAGTCAAAATCGCACTGTGGCATCATGCGTTACAGAGCACCTACGTATGTACCCACACACTGCAGTTACAACTGGTGGCCACGCCAGCTGACCGTGGCGCTGTGGTATCCTGCGTCACATAGCACGCACATAGCCAAGCGGATGGAACAAAATAAACAACACAGACAAAGCTAAGTCGCAGCAACAACAAAATTACATTTTTAAAGCACCTACTCCTCCCAAAAGGTGTCCTCCCACAGGAGTCTTCCCAGATCAGTATAGAAAAAGACAAAATGCCTGTCTGTGTGCCAATCTACATTCCATATTGGATCCTTTGGCTGCAAGCGTAGCTGCAACGGGTACAGCTAGTAAAAGCAAAGTCTTTTGCATAAAGAGGGAGAGCTTGTCTAAGGCTCGTTTTATAGATGTTTTGAACTAAAACGCTGATAGTGTACCTGTGACACAAACCTGAACTTTGGTGCTGTTTGGATAAATCAAAACAATACTTCTTTCCATTGATCTTGAACCTCAGCCACTACTGCTGTGAGGCTCAACGGTGAATGTGAAAGTGCATTTTGGAGGCCTCGGGTTGCAACCAATCTGGATTATATTACTTGACATAATCCACAAGACATCCATTAATTCTGTGATATTATTGAAAAATGCTCTAAATTTGAAACATTCAAAGGCCTGAATGTGAACACTGGCTTCCCAAGATGGAGAGATATGGGCATGGTCAGTTGAAGCCTAGCACCTGTGGTTGCTGTGACACAGGCTGACACAACCCGGTGCATACTATCACAACTGATTTATAATGTTTGGCTTGAAAGATAGAGCTTGAGACTATTAAAACCAATGAATATCACAATATGATTACAAGGCAGTAGTCTCAATAAGGGATTCAGATACTTTCGTAAACTGGAAGAGCAAAATTCAAGCAATTTAATTCCACGTCGGCTGAAAGAGACTTCCACAAGAAAGCGGCAATGCTGGAAAAAGGACTTTGTCACATAAACTACACTGCCTGTAGGGAATTCCCTGTATGTTCCCTGCAAGGCCTTGGTGATCTCAGATTCTAACACAGATTCTCTGATGGAGAAGCACTTTTTATAGCAAAGTGCTTGTTCCAGCTGTGAGACACCAGTAACACTAACGCTTTGCTAAGAAGTGCTTTTTCAATCCCATTAACAGTGATAAAATCACCTCCATGTATCCAGTAGCTTTTCTTACATTTTCTGTGGTGTTGATGAGGACAGTTCAATTTAGTTTTCACTCTTTATTTTGATGGTTGCAGGTGTTACGGGAGACGTCAGTTGCCAGGACACTATGCCACTGATGTAAGCTACTGCTGCTGATATGCATGTTGAAGGATTAATAATAGCGATGTAGTCACTGCAGATTCATCACATGCTAATCTATGGTTGATTATCAGGAGATAGAGGTTGGTAAGTGTGTACTTAATCAACTCACTGGTCTCGGAGTAGAAGCTACTTGTAGCAAAGCAATGCAAATCAAAGTTGTCAATATGAAGTACATTTCAAAAGCTAGTAGATACTTCTCAATCTGTTTTGTTCTCCATCATTCATTAAGGGGCCACAGTTAGCTGGTGCTTTATCAGAAGACACTGATAATATCTTGAGTGAAATGCATTGAGTTAACTCAGTGTGTTAGCTGTCTATTTGGTAAACATGTGTTCATATCCCATAGGAACTGAATTGCATTAATGTATCGTGTAGATGCATAAAAGTGTTTTAATTTGCATTTCTTTCACCTCCTCATTATCTAGAAATTAATACAATCTTTATTCAAAAGAGGATCAAACAAATACTATGAAAGAACCAAGAGGAGTAAAAATATGATGGTCTGCAGGGACTTGGGCCAAAACCTTAGGCAAGTTTCCTTACTCCACATGCCCGTGTTTACTAGTAGTAAGTAGGAACCTGATTGTTAGTTGATTGTTAGGCAAATCCCTTTCCGGGGGTAATAAACCCTCAAAAAAGTGGTCATTTGTTTGCGGGACACGGCTTGTGCGTAATTAGCTGCCACATTATGCCCACAAAATACACATCAATCCACTTTACAATATATTCTGTGAAGCGTTTTGAGACGTCTCAATGTCGTGATCAGGCGCTATATCAAATGCAAGGATTATATTATTATTTAGGCCAACTGGTACTTTTAAGTTATGTTTTCCTTGTGTTAATGTAAAAAGTTATTGCCCATGAAAACAAATATTTTCCACGTTCCACAACAAGATGATGTCAGGAAGCCTGATATGGAAAGGGTGTCAGTTGCACTTCAATTTGATCTGATAAATGTATGACAAGATCCAGGAGTTTGCAGAACCTGCTCAACTCCTGGGAACCAATTAACATAGAGAACACCACAAAAAACAGAATATAAGCATGTTCCTTTTATAAATGAAGACTAGTGTCTCTACACACATGCATGCACGCAGGCAGGCATAATACTATACACATTGATCCAATGATTAGCTTTACAGGAATCAAATCTGCCCTTAATCATAGCTCAAGCAAAAAATCTCCACTTTTATTTTTAAGGAAAAAAGAATTTCAACCAAAGCTGCATTCACTTTCTTGAATTTAAAATCTGCCTTCCACTCCCAGATTCTGCACGGTCGCTCTTTGTATGGCCTGGTGAGTGAGGCTCACCTCATCTTGCGTGAGTGTTCGTTCCATATGGCGGTAGGTAATCCGATAGCAGTGACTGACCCTTTTAGTCCTAAAAAGAGAGAAACAGCTATCAGTTCAGCGAATGCAAATAAAGCACGAAAAAGGGAGCCCTTCCAATCCAATAAATATATGCATTAATTTGAGATGTTCAGAATTTAAGAGTGCGCAGAACATTGAAAATTCTTAAACCTGGTTTTAAGTTGAAAGTTATTTATCTGGAATACTTAATGGAATGGGTCTCCAAATAAAGAATGAATTTTAGGATTCTGCATGATCTTAAATGTTCCTGCAGTGATTTTAGGCTAACACCATGAGGAATTTTGGCCTAAAGATGTATGACCCCCAACATTTCTTAACAAAGTAACAATGGATTATCACAATTGTATCACTCTATCCAATGAATGCCTTTCTGTCAGAGTAGATGCTGGATAGATAAATAATAATATTCTTTGCATTTGATATTGCATTTTATCATATCATCAAAACATTTGAAAGCACTGAACAGGATTCTTCTGTAAAGTTTAGTATCTATGTAGGCAAATGTAGCTGCCAATTTGATTCCAGCAACAGCTATGAAGTGAATGATCAATTTTATCTGGATTGTTAGCCAGGACACCAAGAGAAACACCCTTCTCTTTTCAAGTAGTGCCATAGGATGTTTAACATAGCTCACATAACATAGGAGTGCTTAGCACGCTTCCCTTGCAAGTGAGAGGACTCAGGTTTGATTCCTATAAGTGGGTTTCCTTACTCAACATGCCTGTGTTTACCTAGCAGTAAGTGGGAACCTGTTTTTTAGTCGATTGGCAGATAGCTTTCTGTGGATAATAATCTCTCCAAAAAAAAAAATTTTGGTCACTCTATCCATGACTGTTTGTGGGACACTTCTATGCGCAATTGGCTGCCACGGTTTGCCCACAAAATACAGTCAATCCACTTTACAATAAGTTCTCTGAAGCACTTTGAGATGTCTCAACGACGTGATAAGGCGCTATATCAAATGCAAGGATTATTATTATTATTAACATCCACTTGAACAGGGAGACAAAACCTCAAAGACAAACCGTGGCTGAAGTTTCCCCTTGCTGACCGAGGACACTAAGAGCAATTGTGATTACAATTATTAATCATTAGAAATTGAAGCTGATAACGGGCTTTAACATGCAGTTTAAATTTAGAAATTTCCTCAGTGCTGAATATGTTAAATGTAGATTAGCTGGGTCCATTGTCTCAGCAAACAGTATTTGGGCAGAGGTAGGCCCCACCTCCACCATTTCATATCTGATAATGAACGAAATCTCCCAAACTAACTCACAAGTTAGATCACTGAATGTACCTATACAGTTATACAGCAGCCTATGTGCATTGACAATAGTGCAAGACACTGCCCCAGTTGAAAAGCAACAATTTTAGACCAGCGGTTGAAATTATAATAATAATCGTTGCATTTGATATAGCGCTTTTCACGTCTTCTAGCCGTCTCAAAGCGCTTCACAGAATATGTAAAGTGAATTGACTGTATATTTGTGGGCGAAATGCGGCAGCCAATTGCGCACAGTAGTGTCCCACAAACAGTTGTAGATTGGTAAATTGAGATCTTTCTTGGTTTCTATGGATTTGCAACATGCCGCACACTGGCACACATCTACTCTCTGAGCCATCAGGTAGTCCACAAAATAAACTAATCCAAAAGCTAAGCATTTTGGATCAATGATTTTTGTGTGTGTTTGTATACAGACACCAGCCATCATCTTATTGCATGCTTGCTGCCGGAAATAGATTTGGTTGAGCGATGTATATTGTTGCCATCTCAGACAAGTATTCTTTGTGCCTTTTGCAAACTGACATTAGATGAGAACTAGAAAAATATCCTGTGGTGCTGTCTCTGTTAGACTTTTCAGCATCTGCTCAAAGCACCAAGGACGAGGATAATGAGTTTTTGTATTCATGTCTTAGATGGTTCAGGATAAATCCATAATACATTAATGCTGGTTTTATACTACATCAACTAAAGGCAGCTGCACCTTAAACAGCAACCCAACTGGGAACCCTGGTTATACTGCCCACTCATTGCCGATCAATATAAAGTAGGACTTCACACCCATGCACCTAGACACATGCATGAAGGTTTGGTTAACCCTTTCTGACTGCCAGTGACCAAAAACACTGACAGTACACTCAGCTCTTTGTATTCTCTTTGTGGGGTGCCCACAGATCTGAACATAAGAACATAAGAAATGCTAGACGAAAAAAGACCAAGGTCCACCTAGTTCGCCTTCCACAAGCACATATATCCCGATCTACCTATGTACTATATCCCATAATGTTATTTCCTAAAAGAAAAATCTAATCTGTGTTTGAAAGAATCAGCACTTTCTGCTTCAACCATCTCCTTAGGGAGCCTGTTCCAATCATGTCACCTCTCAATCTTCTCTTTTCCAGCGAGAACATGCCCAATTTACTTAGTTGCTCCTCATAGTCCAATCCTTCCATTCCCTCAATCATTTTGGATGCCTTCCTCTGTATCTTCTCAATTTCTCTAATATCGTTTTTGTACTGTGGCGACCAGAACTGTACACAGTACTCTTAAGTATGGGCTCACCAATGATTTATACAGTGGCAGGATTACCCACTTTTTTGGCTTGCTATTGATCTTTTGATACATCCCAACATCTGGTTTGCTTTACTCACTGCTACAGAGCATTGTTGTGAGAACTTCAATTTAATGTCAATCAGGACCCCCAGGTCCTTTTCATTTTCTATAAATATTATTTTCCTTCTGTTCAAATAATAGTCCAGGATTCCAATGCACAGTGATAACGGTGCAAGAATCCAGCCAACAAACCTCTCATTTCTGTAAACCATTAATAACAGGATGGCCATTTGACAATGGTGTAGTAAAAAAGATCATCTCACCCATGGCTTCAAAACTACAGCTTTACTGGGTCAAACATCCCTGAAGTGGATATATTACATAAAAGAAGCCTTATTGGTACAGTCAAAACCAAAGTCAAACCACAAATGATTACTGGAAGGTAAAAGCTGTTGCTGAAAAATTATAACCTTCCAACTAATTCAACATTTGCAATATGAGCTGCAGGTGTAGTGCCCCAGAAATGCTCCTGGGAACTGGAGAGTTTGAACCATAAAGGCGGAAACTAAAGGATCCTGTCTTGTGCAAAACTAATACTGGTTGTGTCACCCCTTTTGTATTTTATTTACATTCCTGTGGCACAGATCAGTTTCCATTAGTTTACGTGCCCCTACGCTGCAGACTTCGCCCTAGAGTCCTGTCAATCACAGAGCCGAGAAGGCAGGACCGAAGATTGAAAAGTCTGAGACAGGAGTACACGGACCAGGCGGTGACCCCTGGCTCTGCTGCAAGAATAGAAAGATTTTCCCAGCGGATTCTTTTATATCCCCCACAGAGGAGCATTAGCTTAATCCTGTACATCACAAACATTTAGTTATGATACAACAGGAGAGCACTGGGGGGTGGCGGTACTGCTTTTTAAAAACACTGTAGAATTTATTTTCATTTCACTCTGAAGCTATTAACTTATTTTACGGATTCTTAACAGTCGTAGCATTTTCTGCTTTTTACTATATCAACTAGGAGAACTTTGGTCTGGTTTTGTTGGAAAAGATTAATTCCTGTTCATCTGGGAGAAAACTAGAAGCAGCAATGATTTTTAGACTGACAGTCACTATCCGTCAATTACCACATGCTGCAAATTCACAAGAGTATTAACACTTTCCATTCACAGCCTGTGAGAAAGAATGGGCAGAGGAGGCAGTGGCAGAGGGTATTCTACAAATGGGGAGGGGAGGGGGAAAATTATATAAACGTAGAAAAAAAATAGAAAGTCTTACATAAAACGAAGCTTCAAACTTTTCTACAGACGGTTGTATAAATCGTGTTAAATGTTTAAACAGATATTTGTCATCATGGAGACAGACGACCCAAAAAAACTTGACAGCCTATTGGGAAAAAGACCTTCACTTCCTCCTTCAGGGACCACAATAGTGTTTATCCCAAACTGGAAATAAAACAGATGTTTTTCTTCATACCGTGCTATAAAATAAACATGTTTCCTGGTTATAACTATATTTTATGCTGGAAAATTATACAACCCAATTTTTCAGCTGGTATGTGTTCAAGTTCGTGCTTTGCTCCCTATCACAAGACACCTAATTTCACACTCGCCTACAAATCACTTCATGTCCGATCACTTCCCTACCACTCCGATGTCTATCCACCTCCCTTGTTTGGCCAGCTCCATCCCCGACCTCCCTGTTCCATTATTGGCAGCCGCGCCTTCAGCTAATACTCTCCGAAATACCTGCCTCAATCCATTCATCTTGCCCCCTCTTTATCCGTCTTCAAATTCCAACTGAAGACTTTACTCTTTGACTCCTGCCTTCAGTTATCTCCCCTTTCTCCCTAGCTCAGCATCAAACTCCACCATTGTTCAGCGATCCAAGATGCTATCTCGCATGAAGGACGTTATTTAAAAGTTGCTGTTGCTGTTTATGTCCAAAAGGCAAAAAAAGGGATATTTAATACTGAAATAGGCAAATCATACTAGTTTTCATGGGACACAGATTATGAATCAGAGTTTATTGGATACACTTATGGTCTGGATAAAGTATGATCAGAATTACACATTATTTGGTACTTAAGCTCTCTACAGACTGTTGATCAAGTCATTAAAGGGCAGAGACGCTGCTCCACTTTGCTAAAGAACTTGTACTTATATAGCTCCATTTATGTAAGAGAGTCTCAAAGCACTTAGCAATGCAGTGGCAGAACTGAGCAAGAAGTGGGAAGAATTTAGAGGTGACCATAGGTTTGCAAGATGTTTTTGAAGGTGTGTGGGGGGGTAGTTTAGGCACCCCCAACTATCACAATGCAATCACAATACTTTGAGGGTAAAGTTTGAGACTGCTTGCATCTATTGTTTTTCTTTTCCGCAGAGAAGAGCGTGCCTCTCATTCAATTCCTCGCTGCAGTTTGCTTTATTTTGGTCAGCCAGGTGTCTGACACAC